CACAATTTTGGAAAACCCAGACACTACCAACAATACAAGAATGGTTGTTAAAACGGATGGACATGGCAGAAAAGGACAAACTGACTTGCTTATTAAAAGAAAACTCAAATAACTATTACCTTCAAGAATGGAAACCGTTGACGGACTATTTGCAAAATGCAGGTGGGGTGAAGCTTACATGGGGATTTGAAGATTAGATTATAAATCTAATGGGATATGTTTAGACAAAGAATTATTCCTATTTAACGTATTAAAAACTAGCACTTATGATAGCCTTATTATTTCTAAGACCAGAGATAGATTGAAAGTTATCTATTTTTCATATCTTTTTTTCTTTTACTTCACTTTTTCTTTTCCTTTTCTTTATATTTTGTATTTCAAATTTTCTTTCCTAACTTTTAAATATGTATCTTTAAAGTTTCAATAAAATATTATAAAAAAAGACTCAGGGCAGAGTCTGGGGGGCTTTCTCCTACCCATTCACAGCCACGCCACGCCCTTTTTTTCAACATACGAAAGCGAGAAGGTGGCAGTTGGAGATTTGTGGCTGAGACCACTATGGGGCAGTGGTGTGCACATGGCCTGACCCATAACGACACCCTTCTGCCCCTTTTCCATCCCTCCACATGTGGACACAGGGCTGCAAAGCAAAAGGGAGGCAGAGAGGAAGTCCCCAGGCGAGGTTGATTTTTGCAGGATCTCCCCGGGGAAGGGTCTGCTGATTCATGTCCAGGAAGCAGCTCAAGAGGTGGGACGGTCCCACTATTCTGCGGGAGCTAATTAACTGGGCCGTGTTTGCACAACACACTAACCTCCCTGACCCAGTTTAGCATGTCATGGAAACAGAGCCCAATAATAGGAGAACAGCTATTTTCGCTGTGACCTTGGCAGAGCAGAAATCAGCCTTGGAAAGGCAGGCGCTTGGCGGCACGCGAGCCGAAGCCAAAACCAAAGCCATCTCTTCACAAGCCTTCCGGTGGCACCGACACCGTCTTCTTAATGAAGGGAAGGAACTGTGATGGAATGGACTTATGAAGGCCAGGCTCAGGGAGATAAGCGTGTTCTTAGCCAGCAACAGGAGTGTGGGAAGTTCAAGAAGATGAGGCTGGCACCTCCCTGAGGAATTCACACTGTTGGGGCTGGCTGGCTTGGGAACTGGGGTCCAGTCTGGGGAGATTTCTGTCTGGAGGTTGAAGCTAATAAACGCAACAGAATTGTATTTGCATTGTCTCTTGGAGTTCTTTGGGCTGAACCTGACAGGAACAAAGCCCAGGAGGCTGCACCTGTTTAGCCTCGCAACGACTTGGACAGGTCGCTAGTAATGAGGGCGAGCAGCAGACATAACTTTGCTCCACAAGCTTCGCCGAGGACTCGCCTTCTGTTTGCCTGCCGCCCTCTGGCACCTCCACCCCACTGGCAGCCAACCTCTTGTATGCAGATTGGAGAGGCAGGAATACATTTGGAGAGCTCTCCGAGCCTGCTGGGGGAAGCAGGGGAAACTGGGCTATAAATCTCAATCAATAAATTATGATCATTTGCTCTGTCAATATTATAGACGTGGCTCAAATGTTTTATTGGGGCCTTGGGAACAGCACCAGGGGAATGATAACACAAAAGATGATTCCCTCTTTCAGGTAGTCAAAAGCTGGAAATCTAAACCAGCACCATGGTCTTGTCATCGTAACTCACTTCGGGCGGTTAATGAAGCTGCCAATTCGAGACAGATACCTGCAGCCTACTTGGCTCCGTAGGAGATCTCGGTGGAGAGATGGCACCTGCCCGGCAAGCGGGGACCATTCGCGCCTGAGATTATTAACTTCTGCAAAGCCCCTCAAGACTGAGCACTTGGATCATGCTGGTGACATTAGCTGGCTGGCTTGTCATGTTTTGACACATTCCAGCCCATTGTACGGAGTAAAACAAGGGAAAGGTACCAAGTGCCCTGCTGACAGCACGTCACACGGGGAGACATCTCTTGGGAAATTAAAGCAATTCTGCCCAGCATTTGGGCGGGGGGAGGGGGGGAAGATGCCAAAAATGCAAGGGAGGACAAAACCTTTGGGAGCTAGATGATGAGTCATGCTGGGCATTAGGGCCATCTGTGTGTGTGTGTGTGTGTGTGTGTATGTGAAAAACAGGGTTTCTCCAGCCTTCTCCTCATATGCAATGAGGGCACCAAACTCCACACGGGGCTAGCACTACCTATGACTTATCATTCAGATCTCTCCTCTTGCTTATTGTACCAAGGTGGCTGAAATTTGGCTAAAAGGGCACTGAGGATGGACCCCAAATCCCCACTGGCGACCCCAAAGCTGGCTCACGCACCCCAGCCTGGCTAAAAAATACAGTTACATTGGACACATGACATGCTATGCCCAAACAATTCCTAGCATGGCTTGAAGATCTGGTTCATAGAACGTACTAAGACAATGGCTGGGTTCCCACAACCTACCACCTGCCTAACCTCACTTTAGCTTAGTCTAGTTTGCTTCCACTTTTGGCGTGGGAACGAGGAACACTTTTATTACCACATCTTTCTGAAGAGGGCCACGCATCCTTTGGGGAGGGGGTACAGCTTTAAAAGGAAAAGGACAGAGGTGCAATCACAGAAGCCTCCAGCGGAGAAGCCAACAGCTTCATCAGAATCCCTGAAGATTGCAGGCTCTGCTCTAAAAGCTGAATGTGTTCTGGGTGTGTTTTCATCTCTTGTGAGAACCAGCCAATTATGGGTTGTTCGATAAACCATGGTTGGGCAAACCATGCATGACATAATGCAGAAGACTCCTCCAGCTGCGAAAGCGCACGAGGAATTGATGGAACGCCGGCTGGTCCTGCTTCCCACGCAATGAAAAACAAGGCTATCCTTTTTCCTCAGTTGAGAAATACAGACAATGTTGAACTACATGCTGTAACGTGTTACACGAGCACCTTCCAAGGCAGTGGTTCTTAAACGGCTTGACCCAATTCCCCCTTTG